GGCCTAGAAAATGTAGAGCAGGACTACTGCCTACCTTCCCTAGTTCAATGAGGAGGACAGGAAGGGCCAGAGGATGGCTGACTCTCTGAAGACCAGATGCATGAGGACATGTGAGCATAGAACCAAAACTAGATATAGGTCAAGGCTGCATGTGTGTGTCTGTGAATCTGGAGAACCTTTTTTGGTTAACATGCAAAGTCATCTTTTGTTGAAATAATATAATATTTTGGTGAATCTTGCTAAATATCTGTGAACCCTGAGAAAGGAGATATAGTGCCTTCTAAAAAGGTCTCCTGGTGGCTACCTGGGCTCATATTTAAAAAACAGAACCCAACAGCCATTTCTACACAGGGATTTCTCATGCAAACTGCACTTCAGGAAGAAGCCTACAGCAAGCTACCTGCTTGCACCATGTTCCTGCCATCTGAGCCAACCCTTATAAAGAAATCCTATTTCAACCAGCAGGACTGATGCTTTCTCCATTCAGTCAGAGATACACAGCTATATCAACATCAACTTCTTTACCAACCAATCAGAATAACTCCATTCTCATCAAGCAGGACAGTGCCTTTTGGACCAAACTTCAAAGATTTGGAATCCTCATTTGCAAGAGGATGAACCAATCAGAAACCAAGATTGGGGATTTCTGTCTATATAAATTAGCACTCTTCTAGCTCTGAGAGCTCATTTTCCCTTTCCACTTAGTAGCTGAAACTCTGGGAACATATCTCTTTGGCCACCATCTCTAGCATCTCTTAGACTGGCACAGGGCAGAGTGTACTCACAGGAAGCAGAGCTGTATAGCAGGACAGGGTCTTTGCCCTAGGGCCATCTAACATCCCTGGATGTGTTATATCATAATTGAGATGTTTACACTGAGTAAGGTTTCCTTCTTCATGGTACCCCAAATTGAAGATTCCTGTTGGCACTTGACATTTCCACCCTTCACACTTCCCACTGATGGGACTAACATTCTGGCTCTGTGAGCATGAGCAGGCTTCTAGCGACTTTGCTGAGACACCCTCCCTCCAAAATATCCCCTCCCTCTTCAAAAGTTGGTTAGAACATGCCAATTGTCAAAAGACTTTTTTGAGTTAATCAGGGAGACTAGAACTGGGCATTGTTAACTTTGTTAGGTGTGATACTGGTATTATGGAAATATTTGAAAACAGATCTATCAATTAGATAAGCATACTCAAGTATTTAAGGGTAAAAGTATGTCAGTTGAGAATGCTTTAAAATTACTGGGGTGAAGAGCAGGTGTGTGTGTGTGGAGGAATATAGATGGATTTTAAAAAAGGCAAGATGCATACATACAGGCGAGACTTCCTGTTAAGATGAAGGCATTGGTAAACACAGCTTGGCTCCTTGCACGACCACAGGAAAATTACAACTAAAACATAGAACAACCTTCACTGAGAACCAAGAGAAAATTGAGCCATATGAAAATCTGGCAACTAAGGAATTAAAGAGACCACATTCATCCTGACGGTAGGAGAGGAGGTGACACGGAGACGCAGAGACGCAGAACCAGCTGGTCCCAAACCTACATGGGGTGAGTATAAAACAGACAGATATCTTGGGAACTCTCAAGAGCAAGGGATCCTACCCCTCCAACAGACCACACAGCCCAAGGTTTCAGTGCCAGGAAGATAAGTCCCCATAACTACTGGCTATAAAAACCAGTGGGGGTTGGGTCAGCAGAAGAAACTGTGGGATTCTGAGGCCTCTCCTTTAGAAGTACCTCACACCACACACAGAATTACTCAGATTCACTCCCTCTGGGCTCCAATACCAGAGCAGCAGCTTGAAGGGCAACAGTGGGAAGAACTGAAGCGTCTGGCCCTGAGGCAACAGCTGAAGGATAGCTTCTTCCGAGGCAGAACTGCAGAAAGCGGCCATGGTACCTTTCCTGAGTCTTCCTCAAGCCTTCCCTGACAGAGTCACAGTGTGGTGGTACCGTATCTGAATCTCCATCACCCTGGCTTTAACAGTAAACCCCGACCTGACGATTACTTAAGGGTCCACCCCAGCCAACTTATGGGCCTACCCAAACAACCCTCCCACCCTGGGAACAGTGGTTTTTCCATAAGAAGGGCTGGGCTAGGCACTGGCTTCAGACCTTCCTAAATCTGCTCAATCAAGCAACAGCTGAATCCAGCCCCCATACCTCTAGCTGAGTGGCCTCATGCTTGGCAACAGCAGCAGCCATCTGCAGATCGCTGTATATCTTATGCCAAGGGGGCCTAGACAGAACACAGGTGGAGGCTGACCTTGGCGTATGCCACCCAGGAAAACCCAGAGCCTGCACGCCCAGCAGACAGTTATAGACCACATCAGAGCACCACCTAACCACCTCCCTGGTTGCTTGCCAGAGGTCACAGCCCATCCCACCAGTTGTTTGGAGTGGGTAAATCTCTCCCACTGACTTGTTGACAGCAATCAAGACTCATCTACAATAGGAGGAAGTACTCAGCCCACAGAGAGGAAGCACTTCAACTACACAGCTTGGTTAATGGGGCGCTATGCCACGGGACTCTACAGGACACCTACTACATTAGGCTATGCTACAAAGGCAGGGAGTCATAGCAGCTCTACCTAATACACAGAACAAACACACGGAGGCTGCCAAAATGAGGAGACAAAGAAATATGGCTCAAATGAAAGGAAAGAAGTCCAGAAAAGAACTAAACAAAATGGAAATAAGCAATCTATCATGCTGAGTTCAAAACACTGGTTATAAGGATGCTCAAAGAACTCAGTGGGTACTTCAACAGCATAAAAAAGACCCGGGCAGGAATGAAGGACCTACTAACTGAAATAAAGAACAATTAACAGGGAATCAAGAGTGGAGTAGATGAAGCCAAGAGTCAAATCAATGATTTGGAACATAAGGAAGAAAAAGACATTCAAATTAGTACAGCAAGAAGAAAAAAGAATCCAAAAAATTGAGGATAGTGTAAGGAACTTTTGGGACAACTTCAAATATTCCAACATTTGCATCATAAGGGGTGCCAAAAGTAGAAGAGAAAAAGCAAAAAATTGGAAATACATTTGAAAAAATAATAAAAGAAAACTTCCTTAATTTGGTGAAGGAAATAGACATACAAGTCCAGGAAGCACACAAAATCCCAAACAAGATAGATGTAAACAGGACCACACCAAGATACATCATAATTAAAATGCCAAAGGTAAAGATACAGAATCCTAAAAGCAGCAGGAGAAAAGCAGATAATTACCTACCAAGGAGTCCCCATAAGACTGTCAGTTGATTTCTCAAAAGAAACTCTGCAGACTAGAAGGGATTGGCAAGAAGTATTCAAAGTGATGAAAAGCAGGGACCTACAACCTAGATTATTCTATCCAGCAAAGCTATTGAAGGGGCCAAACTTTAACACTAGGTCAAGCCTGGGCCGAAACAAGAAACTAGAACAAACAATACCCCAAGATGAAGGGAAGAATTAGAGCCCCCCCCTTAGTAACAAGATAGGACAACGGCTGAGCCTTGACTCAGACAAATAGCCCAAAAAGAGCAGGGTCAGAGCTGAGGATAAGGGAGAAACAAATACCAAGAAAAACATATCAGGGTGCAGCCCCCATGCAGCTGGGCCAGAGTCGACAAGAATGAGGAGGAGGCATAGGGCGAGGGTTGAGCCTTGCCTCAGATAGACATCCTGACCAGAGAAAGAGTAGGGGGCCCAGTAACAGCCTTGAACCTAATCAGCAAAAAAAAAAAAAGAAAGAAGCTGCCTATTGCTAACTGCCACTTCTCGCCCTTGTATCTTGCTTGCTTGCTCTGCTTATAAAAACCCGTGTACCCTTACAGCGGCGCGCCTTTTTCCTTTTGAGGGAAAGGTGGCCCCTGCGCAGGTAAAACTTGGCCAAATAATAAAGAGTGTGTGATCAAACTCTAATTTCTGAGCTCATACTTGTGGGGATCGTAACAGCTATCAGTTAGAATTGAAGGGCAGGTTAACTGTTTACTAGACAAGCTAAAGATGTTCATCATCACTAAACCATTATATGAAATGTTAAAGGGACATATTTAAGAAAAAAGTTGAAAACTATGAACATTAAAATGAAACTAAATACATAACTATCAACAATTGAATCTAAAAATCAAACTAAGCAAAGTAGCCAAACAGAAACAGAATCATAGATATGGAGAACATTGGGATTATGGCCCATGGGGAGGGGGCATAGGAAAATGGGGGAAAAGGTGAAGGGATTAAGAAGTACAAATTGGTAGTTACAGAATAGGCAGGGGGGTGTTAAGAGCAAGTATAGGAAATGGAGTTGCCAAAGAACATATATGCATGGCCCAAGGGCTTGAACAAAGGGTGGGGGGATCACTGGACCAGAGGGAGTGGGGGGTGCTGGGTGGAAGGAGGCAAAAGGGGAAATAGGACAACTGTGATAGCATAATCAATAAAAAATAATAATTAACATTTTTAAACAAGATGCAGGCATAATTGAAGCTGGGGGGACCATTTTATTGTCCTACTTTTGTAGGTCTGAACATTTCCATAATTAAAAAGTTAAACACAACAGCAGAACAACTAAATCTGGAGACTTGGCCGCGGGCCAGACACCGACGCCTTAGGAACGGCTGGTCTTCCGCACCCTTTAAAGAAGAAATCCTCATTCCCCTTTTCTCCCCTGGCGGCTTCTCAGGAGGAGATTCGGTTTCCACCTCTGTAAATCAGCCTTAGGAGAGAAGCTTCCCCAAAGAGCTGTGGATGTGAATAGCTGGGTGCGCTCAGAAAACACTCCTTTAAGGGTGACTCCAGCCTGGAGCTGATATTGAACTCCAACTCTCCCCACCGCGAGGGCCAGGCGCTTCAGGCCTGGCGCTTCAGGCCCGGGGGCGGGGTCTATGCGACCCAGCCTTCCGGGTGCTCCGGCGCCCTCTCCACCCAGCCGGGGCCGGCCGGGGGCGGTGCTCCGGAAGGTGGGGCGGTGGGGCGGCGGGGCGGCGGGGCGGCCAGTCCTTTGCCGTTTCCTACGTTAGCGCTCCTCGCGGCCCAGCCTGTCCTCGCCTGGTCCCGGCGGGTCCCGCTTTCGGCTCTCCGCCTCTCGGGAGAGGTCCGGTAAGCGCGGTCCTTCGCTCGACTGGGGCAGCAGTCCGGACGGGGTACGAGGAGTGTGCAGCCCAAAGGGGAGCCTGAGGTGTTCGAGGGAGGCCAAGGGTTGGGGAAATGTCGGAGCTGCAGCAGGGAACGGGGATGCGCAGATGGAGTTGGGTGGGAAGAGATCCGGAGAGACCCTGAGGTGGGGTGGTGGCACATCGTGGGGTCCTGGGCTTGGGGAGCGTGGATGATGAGGTAAACCGCTGGAGCGGGGATCCAATGGGAGCCCCAGGGTTGTGGGAGCGCAGGGTAGGGACCCGCACCTGTACGTGATAGACAGGTGAACTGGGCAGAGGGAAGGGAAGGGCGGCGGCTCCTGGGAAAGGAGCCAAATTGGGGCCCGAGGCGGGGGATATTAGGCGCTGGATAGGGTACCTAGTAAGGGAGGGACGCCAGAGCCCAGGGCGGGGGAGTTGCCTGCGGAATGTGGGGGCGGGGACGTGCTGGAGAGGGGACCCAGAGCATGGGGATGGTGGCAGGTCCTGCTCTGAGGTTCGGTCCCCTACACTGTACACCCCACACACCTGGTGTCTGGGCCTACTTGTCCTGCTCCTCCTGCAGATTCTCCAGCCTCATCCCCAGCTGATCAGAAACGACTGTGGTGGGTCCGACAATGTACGTTTTTGATGGGTCCCGTAGGTGACTCTGAGCCCGCAGTAGTTTAAGAACCACTCATCTGAAACAGGAGCTTTGGGCAGTTAGAACTGCGGGGTGGGACCAGTCAGGTTTCCTGTGATGCAAATGAATTATCCCTTGTAATCAGCACAAATCGTCTAAAGTAGATGCTATTATCTCCATTTAAGGTGAGTCAATGGAGACAGAAATTTAACTTTACCAAGGACACATATCTAGGAAGGGGAGTAGCTGAGATTCTAATCCTTGGGGCAGGCTCCAAAGTTCTCCCACTGACCCAGGTCACCTGTGAAGCCCAGAGAGCTGAGGCCTTACAGCATCTTGAGCCACTCCCACACCCCATAGTGGTTAGGAATAGCTCTGCCTCCCTCTAGTCCCAGAACACTGGGGTACCCAATGACCTGGGAACCAAGGCTGGCTTTCTCTGCCCCTCGCAGCCCATTGGGTGAGGCAATGTCAGTGTCCTCAGTCTGATCAGGAAAGACTCCTTGTGAGGCATCTAGAACAATAGTGACCTTGCATATTTATCTGACTAGGAGCCTTAGTGTATCCTGGTCCCCTGTCTAGTTCCTCTCAAGGCCTGCTCCCAAAGGAGAGGCTCCAAGCAGTATGGCCCATACAGAGTTTTCCACATTCTTGCCACCTTGGCTGGGTAGTTCTTTGTAGTACAGGGCTATGCTGTAGTACCCCCTCCTGTTGTATCTCCTGGGGAGCTGTTGAGTCCATGCCACCTCCCCCTAGCCTTGCCCCTTCCTGTGGGCTAAAAGGATTTTCCCGCATCCACAGCCCACTCTCCAAACAGAAGCTTTCCTTACCAGCAGGCCAGCTCTTGATGACCTGGTTTCTCCATCTGTACTCATTTTTGTCAACTCAACTGACATTTGAGCACATTCTCTTTACAAAACACTACCACATTCTCAATGAATTGATCACCATAAATTACTGTAGTACCAGAATCACCTTTGACCACCATCCACAGGGATATGAGGTCCCTGCTGGTGGACCACAGTGTCCCCACCCTGTTGAGGAGCACAGCAGGTGGGAATGACTGCAGAGTGTTGACCAAGGTGGGACCTCTGTCCCAGGCAACTCTCCTCCCTCCTGAGGTCACCCCTGGCCAGATCTTTCCTTGCCCACCTATGCACATGTCTAGTGAAGGTAAGCCACAGGACAGGACAGTGTGGCATGTTTGTGGAGGTTCCCAGCACAGCTACTGTCAGCACCCCTGGGTGTGTCTGCTTGTGCACCCATGTCCGTGAGTCACCACATTTGTGCTTTGTGAGGTGAGGTCATGAGTGTTCTGAATGGTCACTACCAAGATGTCTTTCACAGAGGTGGACTCACTGCTCCTTCACCTAGGCAGTGTGAGGTTGCTTCTCTTCCCCTGGGCTTTTGGGCCATATGATGGTGAGATAGGGCCTTTCTGTTGCTGAGTTTAAATCATTTCCCCAGTCCCTAGGCTTGTCTATGTTGATTAGACATTTCTCTTCCTCCTTCTGCTGAGCATCTGTTTCTGCTCTTGCCTCTTCTCCATCAGTTTTCCTGTTCCTTGGGGTCATTGAAGACATTTTTTTCCTCCCCCGACACTGTTCCTTTGTCTCTTCTATTTCTTCCAGATACTGTAGATCTTTGCCTGTCTCTTAATTTTGTATAGGACTTTTGTCCCACAGAATATTTAAACTTTGATGGAGTCAAATTAATCATTTTTTCCCTCTGGCTTTTTTGCTTTCAGAGTTTTTATTGGGGGAGAGGGAGTGGGTACAGTGGAGAACTTATCCCTCTAGCCTTTAGAGGCTTAAATCCCTGACTTAGGGTCAAAAATCATTTTGACTGACCACTTCACGGCTGGTCAGGCCATCCAAGCCCTGCCTAGGCCATGAAGGGAGCCCAGAAAAGCTGGACACCCTCTCTTTGCTGTTGTCCATAAGGCCTGGATATCTGGATACCTGTACAGAGAGGCCTTCCCCCTACCTGACTTCATGTAACACCTAATTCATTATTTCAGTGTACTTGTTGAACAGTCAGCATTTTTTTTTTTTAATCCTCACCCAAGGACATTTTCTTCATTGCTTTTAGAGAGAGAGGAAGGGAGAGAAAGAAACATTGATTGGTTGCCTCTCATGCACTGGAGCAGACATCATACCTGCATGGGCCGGGATCAAACCCACAACTGAGGTATGTGCCCTGACTGGAAATTGAACCCACAGCCTTTCCATTATGGGTCATCACTCCAACCAACTGAGCCACAACATCCAGGGCTGAATGGTCAGCATTTTAAAAGCTATCCAAGAGACTGCTTTTTTTTTTCCCATAATGATTATACCTGATTTATTTACATAGCTGATTTATTTCCCATAATGATTATACCTGATTTATAACATTGAATAAATTCTCAAAACATTTAAACATTGATCACATATGTCTTTTTAATGAAACTCTTCTGAACATTTAATTAAAACCTTCAATAATACATCAGATTCCTGTAACATTTTCAATATACACAAAATATAACGATTACTAAATCAGTACACTTATACTAAAACTGGTTAGAAAAATAAATCCAGTATCATGGATATAAATGTCTAGATTCATTACCTTTATTATTCCTTCCCAGTGTTGTTTTCTCAAGGTGGTAAGTAATTTCATTATTAGTTTTGCATCTTCTTAGGGTTTCTGGAATCTCACTACAGAGCGTCATCTGGGGTCATTCCTGGGCCCGCATTCCTTTTAGTGGGGAAAGCCAGAGTCGTGTTTTGAAAACATAACATTATCAAATCATCCTCTTGCTCAGAACCATCCAATGCTCTCACCTCAGGCGGAAGAAGAAACATGGACTCTGCTTGGCCTACGTATAAGCCCCTGCTCCCTGCCCTGCCCTTAATTTCTGCCATCGTCTTTCACTGTCCACCTGCCCCAGATAGATTGACCTCTTTGCCTTTCCTTCCCCTGAATTGCCAAGTTTTCCCTATCCCAGTCTTTGTACTTGCTGCTCCCTTCACACAAAATGGTTCTTCCTCCAGATGTTTGCACAGTTGGCCCCTTTTTTTGTTAGTAGGGTTTAGTAAAAATATCACCCTGTCTTCTGGGCTCTTCCTTGATGGACCATTTAAATCATCCCCTCCACCTTCTCCATATTTTCCCTATGAATTTACAGTATTTAATTTTCTTCATACTTGTATTTATCTTGTTCATTTGTTTGTTTATGACTATTTCAGTGTGTAGAATGTAAATTTCCCAAAAGCAGAACATTTGTCTGTCTTGCTTTTCACTATATTATTGATGCCTAGAAAATGCTTGGCATAAAAGGAAAGAACAAAACAGTATTTGTTGAATGGTGAATCAATGACTCTTGAAATGTAAAGGTAATAGTAGATCACTGCTATTTTTGCTTATAAATGTTGATTGCTTAAAAAATACCCTTCCCCCCAAAAAAGTATGTGGAATAGGTGGGACAGATGAATAGGTAGAGCACAGAGGATTTTTCAGGCAGTGAAACTACTGTGTATGATACTGGAATGATGGATACATGCCATTTATACATTTGTCCGAACACACAGGATATACAGCCAAGAGTGAACCTCATGTAAACTATGGACTTTCGGTCATAGCGATGTTAGTATTGGTTCATCTATGGTAACAAATGTACCACTCTGGTACAGGATGTTGATAATGGAAAGGCTGTGCATGTGTAGGGACAGAGGGTAAATGGAAAATCTCTGTATCTTCCTCTCAATTTTGCTGTGAACCTAAAACTGCTCTAAAATTTTTGTTTTATTTTTTAATAGTGCACATTAATCAAGGAAAAGTCAAATAATATAGACATGTAAAATATCCACATAATTATATCTTCACATTTCCTCTACCCCAAGCCCTTTCTCCTGTCCTGTTTAGCTGGGTGCCTTTAATGAGAAGAAAGAGATTGAGAGACAGAATTGGGAAATTAAGAGTTCTGTATTAGACTTTCCATATTCGAGATACCTCTTCACCGAGTGTGAAGTCTGGATCCCTCAGTGAGGTCTGAAACAGAGACATTATTTTGGGAGGCAACTGAACATCATTGTCATTTAAAGGCTATGAGACTGGATGAGACTGGGTGAGATCAAGACACAGGCATAGACCCAAGGGAGATAAGGGCAAAGTCAGCATTAGAGGTCAGGGTATGGATAAGCCACACCAAGAAAAGAGACACCAGTGGAGTAGGGGAAGTGAGGTGGTATGTGGAAGCCTGGGAAGGGCTGCCAGATAAGACACAGGATTGCCAGGTAAATTTGAACTTTCGAAAGACAATGAATCACTTGTCAGCATAAGTGTGTCTCATTTTATTTACTAAATCTGGCAACTGTAGCTGGAAGAAGGGGTCTCAAGGAGTCACACAAAAAAATAAATCAGCCAGATAACAGTTAACATAATCTTTATACTAGAATGGAAGGCACAAGAAGGCTATGTGTGTTATCACTTAGGGAAGGAGTGTGGAATGTTTTGTGGGCTTTCACAGGAAGATGTGGGGCAGCCCCAGTGTAGCTACTTTTAGAAATGAAAACAGGGCATTGTTCTTGAGGATTGACAGCAGCATTGTCTGTACTGTCTGGACTTTATCAAGAGGGACAAAGGGCTAAAGTTCTATGTAGGAGGGGGCAGGACATAGCTGCAGAACAAGATGTGGGAAAGTCATAGCAATCAAGCCTCGCTTCTCATGCCAGAGTGAGGGCAGGACATAGCTGCAGAACAAGATGTGGGAAAGTCATAGCAATGCAAGTGACTGCTAGCCTTGGCAGTTTGTGCAGGAGGACCTGGAGGGATGCTTGAGCACAGAGTGGGAGGAGAGAATGGGTTGAGAGCCAGACGGTAGCTTGAAGTCAAGGGAGTTTGTTTTTGAGGAAGTCCTAGAGCAAAGTTCATTTTCCCATCAGATCATCCCACAGAGGTAGGGAGAGAAACCAAGAAGACAGGAGAGAGGAGACCCTTGTGGGGTAAGTCCTTGAGAAGGCTAGTGTTGGGGATAGAGGGAGGCCAGGGCTGCTGATGCTTTTTACCCAGTTTTCTCTGTTTTGTAACAAGGGCATTGATAATCAGACCTTCATGGGGGTTTATGAGGATTAAAGAACTATCATAAACATCATTGGTAGAAGTGTCTATTATTTTTTTATAGAGGTTAATAAGGATATAGTACCATAGGGACCCAGGCTGCCCCAACCCTGTCCTGCTAAGAATCCTTCCCTGGTTTATAGGGAAGCAGAAAGGGGACTGGAGACCCTGTTAAGCACTCTGTATGGTGCTCCCAGGGGTGGCAGGACTGGAGCCCTCGTCTCCTCCATTCTGTTCTTACACATTATGTGCCTCCCCACTGTGGCCAGGCCTCACATGTGAGCCTTACTCATTTTATCAAACTTAGAGGGTTAGGGCAGGAGGGTCACTGGGTGGCTGGCCAGGTGTCCCAGTTGGTTGGAGCGTTGCCCCGTACACCAAAAGGTTGTGGGTTTGATACTGGGTCAAGGCACATGCCTGGGTTGGGTGTTGGGGTGCCTGTGAAAGGCAACCCATCGATGTTTCTCTCACATTGATATTTCTCTCCCCCTCTCCCTCCTTTCTCCTCTCTCTAAAACCAATTAGCATGTCCTCAGGTGAGAATTAAAAAAAAAGAACAGCATCTAGACATAGTGTATGAGAGCATGTCTGTGTGTTTGTGTGTAGTTTGGAAGGATGTACAGTAGGCTGAAAATTAGTAATTTTGGAGCAGTAAAATTGTCAGTTATTTGAACTTTCATATTTATACCTTTTTGTATTGTCTAAATTATACTTTTATGAATACATTATGTTTATAATACAAAACAATCAAGTTATTTTTATTTTGGAAAGAAAAGTAAGTTTTGATTACTCTTCAAAAGTAGAATAGATGAATAAATTGTCACATTTATACAGCAATATATTTTATATAGCAATAAAATAAAAATGGATTCAGCAAATGGATGAATCTCACAAATGTAATGTCATGTGAAAGAAAGTAGACATGTAAAGAATGTATGGAGTGTGGTATTTGTGATTGAAACTGCAAAGTATGCAAAACACTACTGTATTGTTTAGGACTACACTCATAGTATTGAGATATAAATCACATACCATAAAATTCATCCCTTTAAAATATATAATTAAGTAGAAAAAATACATGTTCACAGAAAGATTTTCATGTGAATGTTTATAGTACTATTTATAATGGCAAAAAGTGAAAGCAATCCAAATGTCCATCATTTAATAAATGGATAAACAAAATGTGGTCTATGCATACAATGGAATATTATTTGACCATTAAGAGAAATGAAGTACTGATTCATACAACAACATGGTTGAACCTTGAAAACATTATGCTAAGTGGTATCTTAATGTGGTTTTGATTTACATTTTCCTAACAACTAATGTTGAGCATTTTATAATGTGTTCATTGGCCATTGTATATCTTTGGAGATATATCTATTCAATTCCTTTGCCAATTTTTAAATTTTATTTATTATTGAGTTGTTAAACATTTTTTATAGATTCTAGATACTAGATCCTTGTCAGATATGTGGTTGGCAAATAGTCTTTCTTACTCTGTGGATTGTCTTTCCACTCTCTTGATAATGTCCTTTGAAATACAAAACTTAAATTTTGATCAAGTTTTGGCTGTTTGTATTTTAGATATATCTAAGAAACCATAACCTAATACAAAAATCATGAATATTTACACCTATATTTTCTTCAAAGAATTGTATAGTTTTCGCTCTTAAGTTTATTTAGATCTTTGATCTATTGAGTTAGTTTTTGTATATGGTTTGAGGTAGGGATCCACTTTTTTTTTTTTGCATGTACATATCCAGTTGTCTATTTGTTGGAGTCTATTTTCCCATTTAATGGTCTTGGTATTATTGTTGAAAATCAATTGACTGTAAATGCGTGGGCTTATTTATGAACTCTCAATTCATACAATTCTCAATTCTATTTCATTGATCTATATTTCTGTTCTTATGCCGATACCATGCTGTCTTGATTACTATAGATTCATAGTTACCGTATTTTGCCGTGTATAACGTGAGTTTTTTTGCCCAATTTTTGAAGGAAAAATAAGGATGCATATTATACATGAGTAGTACTAATTCTGTATTTATATAAATTGTTTTTAATTCTTCTATTTGTGCTTATGC